TTTAATACGCATGAAATCACGTATTATTCCAAGTCAACAATATTAATGTCACATGTGTTCGATCAATGGTCAGAGGTATTTAAAATATTGTGTTTCAATAAGTTTAAGGATTCAATCGACAAAGTCGTAAGTACAAGGGTCCAACTTACAAATTGAGCCAACTAGAAGAGCCTCCCAGGTCATTCCGCCAAAAAAGAAATGCCTAATAAGTGCATAATTTTTCGAGTACTTGGCGACACCTTCTCTTATAACCAATCAAAATTCAAGAGTCTTTTTTATCGAGTCAAACTAAAGCTGTAAAACATGAATCAGATAGTACGATAATGTTGTAAGGCTTCACTACTTTAAGTATAGAATGGATAGAATAACCTTGGATAGGAGTGAAACAAAAAAATGAATTTATATAGATAAATATGGAGGAATACCAAATAACATTTTAAAGTTTTAAATTAAATATTTGAAGGTTTTGAATGTGAAAAGTATGAGAGTTAAAAATATTAAAAGTATCAATTGAATAAATAATTAGCTATGAGTTATGAAGGTAAGATAAAAATATATGCCCATTCATTTATTTCTTTTAATGCAGTATTCAATTAACAAAAAATGGCTATCAAGATACAGTAGCATGAATTTGGTGTATACATAAAACAATTTTTTCAATCTTTTAAATTATCTGCGCATGCTAAAATGAAACTGGTTAGATGCATTTGTTTGACTCTTGTGTTTACCAGAAGAAAACCAAAAGTTTTTAGTATTGATTGTATTATTTTTAAAAGCTAGTGATATTGTATTTGTGTTCATATAATAATAATATTTAATTGATTAGATATTTTCAAATATTTTTTATTTGTATAGGAGTAAAATAATAATACAACTTCTAACTTTATTTATTCTCATTTTTAATAATATATGGTACAGTGATGATGATATGTGATATTATATGATATGATCTTCCTCTGTCATTGAGTAATATAGAATAGAGAGGAATTTTTTGGTTAGGCTCAAGTATGATAGTGGGAGTAAAAATTATATCCACTGTGAGTGCTTGTGACAATTTCAGGAGTTTGTTACACAAAGGATAGGAACAAATCTTGCACATTTGATTGGTGTAGACATGTGGTTTTTTACCCTCCTCGAGTTAAAACTTTTTTTTAATTTTAAAGTTTTATTTATGTCCAATCTTTAGTTTACCTTTTATATAATTTTTACTAGGTTTTATTTGATAAATTCAGAAACCACAAAAATAGTCGTATTTTTAAAATAATATTTTTGTTTAATGATTCACGAGGCAAAGAAAATTTACAAAAGAAAAATGGTCTTTGAGTTTTCTTATTTAACATTTTAGCTAGTATTTTATTTTTGGCTATTTTCAAAAGAAAAAAGAGAAGACTCAATGGTATGTTATAGAGCCGTCAATATGGGCTAGGACTGTTGGATCGGTCTGATCTAATTCGTGATTTAATAGGGTTGAACTAAGATTTTTGAAGCCCATTAAAAAAAAAACTTTTTAGCCTAGTGGGATAAGCCTACTGGTGTGTGGGGCTTGAGCAATATGAGTTAGGCCGACCCGTGGGCTAAATAAAATAATAATTAAAAAATAAATTTCACGATCCAAAAATCAAGATCATGATGACATACATGATGAAATACACCCCGAGAACCCAATTGGTGTGTAATCCCAAAATAAGTAATGCATATGACACTCCCCAAAGAAAGTTAGGCCACAATCGACGAAAAATGTAGAACAACAAAGAAATTCCCAAAATTTGGTATCATTAGCATAAAGAGCATTTACTACATTTCAAGAATCTGGATTACATCTCAAGTCTTCGAAAATAAATTAAAGACTCTAAAAGATAGATGGAAACCAATGGCAATCCGGAAAGTAGGATCTCACCATAACTCCGAATGAGAAGAAATCGCTAGATCCGATCAATCACTACGAAGATCACCTTGACTAGGATCTACATAAAAAAGACAATAGAAGTAGGGATGAGTACAATCAACATGTACTTAGTAGGTTAAACCAACGGAGCATAAGTAACTAATCAGACTTACGAAATAAACTATGAAACGTTTCCACCTACACACATAAAAGTCTCATTCCAATATTGGTGCCGCCATTTTATATAACAACACAAATAAAGTAAAAACATAAGGATATAACTCAAATCAACATATAAAAAGGTTACACAACACAACAAATTAAAGGTTGTCAATGCAATGCATTGAGATGATGAAATGAAGTGGGGGAATCGAGGTCGTCGCACAACCTGTCGTATACACCTTGCTGAGATTCAGCTGCCATACAAATGGTGGACTCGCAGTCCATATACCAATCTCAAAATCTCATCAACTTGCCACCTAGCTCGTGGTCAAGGATAAACATAAGGTGTCTCATTTTCTTTCTAAAAAATAATATTTCTCCACTTTCTCATATAACAGTAAACCATGATATGTTGCATGAGGATGAATGCATCACAACACATATAACACAAGGCATAATCAATTAAATCAATTTGGCTAAATTGTTAATTCTAGGGCTGGGCATTCAATATTTCAGTTTTCGGTGTCAGTTTTTTTTTTTTTTCGATTTTTGATTCTTGTACAATGTGTACCAAACACCGAATCAAAATAATTCCGTTCGGTTCGATTTTTATAATTTCGATTCGATTTTTGTTAGTTCGGTTTTCACAATAAATTCACAAACTAACTAGTAACAAAATAAAAAATCAGAAATAAAAATAAATGGAAGAAGAAATATTCATTTTGAAACTTGTTAACTTAAAATGGAAGAAGAAATATTGACAACAAAAAAATAATGGTGGTCGCCGGAAGTGGAAAGTTGTCGGTGGTCGGCTCACGGCTGGCGCCTCGCTGTGTGGAAACTGGAAAGGTCGGTTGGTCGATGTTGTGCTGCGTGCTGCTGCCTGCTGGTCGACTGGCAGCTGTTGTGTGCTGTTGGTGGTCGCCAGAAGTGGGAACGCCAATTTTTGTGTGCTGCCGGAAGTGGGAACGCCGATTCACTGTAGATGTGGGAAGTGGAACGTGGGTTTGTACCCTGTAAAGTATAAAAAGGAAATCTTTTACATCGATGTATCGTACTCTCTCGACCAGGCCATCATAAGAAAATACGAAAACGCATAAGAACTCTTGAATGGAAAAGAGATGTAACTCCAGTTCCTTCGGAATCGATGGAAAAGTAAGAAAAAAGTTTAAAAAGACAAACTTTTGTTTTTAATTTTAAATTATAATATTTATTATTTAATATTAATAATTGATATAATATTAATATAATATTAATATATATTATAATATAATATATTTCGGTAAACCGAAATACCGAATAACACAAAAATTATATACCAAAAATCAAATCGAAATACCGAAAAATACAAAAACATATACCGAATACCGAACCGAAAACCAAAATACCGAAACTGAAATATCAAAATAATTTGATTTAGTTCGATTTTTTGGTTTTTCGGTGTTTATGCCCTAGTTAATTCATTTGGCTATTTCTTTATTACAAGATTAGCCACCTCCTACCTCAATTTTAAAAACCATTATTTCACTCTAATTGGAAACCATATCCAGATCCCAGCCCACCGACCCAAACCCGTCAGCGTACAATACAACAACCCCAGCGATCCAGCAGCGCAACGAACTCAAAGCCGCGTCGTTTCCTCTCAACCTTATTCTCTCCGTACAAGAACCTTCTCGAGTCGAAACGTGTGGAACCATCACAGTGCCGCATCATCCTTTACTAAGATCACTTATTTTAAAATGAAGGAGCACTAATTAACCAACAATAGGTGATCATAATATATAATCCATCCGTCATAATTTATGAGGCACAAATAAAATTTTAAGAGTCATACTTCTAAAGTTTGATCATAAATTGGGATGCAAAAATTTTAATGTTTTTTAATAAGATTTATTTATTTTGATGCTATGTAAAAAAATATTATAAATCACAGTAATTAATAACTTAAAATATTTAAACATTATATAAATAATTCCAATAAAATAAAAACTTGGTTACTCTCAAAATTATAATTGTGACTAGTTATTCACCAAATTTGGTGTAAAGTCCAAATTGACAAGTTATTAGCATCAGTATGACAAAAAGGAATGATTTGGCAGAATATAATTGGCTACTTGTTGAAGAAAGCACGTAAGGGACATAAATCTAGATATCCACTTGGCAGCCTTTGAGTGAAAAGTCCAAAATACCCCTCTCAATATCCTAACTATAAATTGAACTCCTCACAAATCTATTCATCCGCCAAATTTTGCTGAGGTGAGCCAATTAACTTACCCTCTCGATTCAATTTATGTGACATATTTCGAAGTTCGAGATTTTAAAAAATCTATCTTTAACGGTAAATTTTTATATATCATTTAAATATTATGAATTGTCAATTATTGTGGCTTATAATTCTTTTTACGTAGTTTACAAATATATAAATTTCATTTCAAAAGAATTGAAGATCTCATCCGCAAAATCCCGATCAAACTTAAATTGTTTGACTCTCGAAAAATGATATGCATCACATAAATTGGGACCGAGGGAGTAATAGTTTTTGAGCATTTGATTGTGAATCTTAATTTGGTAGTTGTTTAGAGTTAGACATGTATTAGTATGTAGGAATTAGTTATGAGGAAATTTATGTATTAACTTAATTATTACTCATTTTATATAAGTATTCGTTATTTCATATTTTATTTTGCATAAAATATGTACATAGATTTCTTCATAACTTATACATGTATTAGTTACGTAGGTTTCTAAATTGCATACCAAACATTAGAATATTCTTATACAAGAATAACTTACCTTCGAACGAGCTACCAACCAAACGATCCCCAAGTGTTTTTTATTATTCAATGATTGTGTTGATTAATTGTATTTTGGTTTTGAGAAGTGTAAAGCTGATAAAGGTGAATTTTTGTTGTTAAATGCAGGGAGAGGTGGTGAGAAGTATTGAGAGATCAACATGCGTGCAAGGAAAGCTGGTTTAATTGCTTTGTTCGATGTTGATGGAACTCTTACAGCACCGAGGAAGGTATAGTATTATGAAATATGCGTTTAGATGTGTGATTTTATGTTGATTTCATATTATGATTTTATATCATGATTTCATATCGCATGACCTAACAGACCCTAGTTTAATAGTCTCTTTTGAATATTTTGCTTAATTTGTAAAAGAATAGTAGTCTTTGATTTATCAAATATGTCTTGTAAGAAAAGTACATTAATGATTGGATAGATATGATCCTCTACTAACTTTTGAAAAGATTATGCAGATATATATGTGTATGCCTTTTGCAATAAAAAATGAATGTAAAAAACTTCTGTTGAACCTTACTTTTTTCTTAGAAGTTCTTTAAATACCAACAATTAGTAAATATTTTTTTTAGGAATGACATAATTCCTATTTTTAATACTATCTGTTGCTCTTGTTGTCTTATTTTCTTATTATCGTGTTTTAAATTCTTTTTTTATTTTTTGCTTGAGTCAAGTGTCTATCGGAAACAAATTCTCTACCCCACAAAGGTAGGATAACATACATCCTTCAAACTCCAATTGTGAAATTGCACTCTTGTTGATTGATTTTTTGAATAGAGTAGAATGGTATAGATGATTTGTACGTTTAGTTGAATTCAACTTATTTGAGATTGAGGCGTCATTGATTGAGTCACTATATTCTTGCTAGCCTATACATTTATTTTCAAAAAATTCATGTCATGAGTTTTTATTGTTCTGATTCTTATTTCTTCCTTTAATTTTATAGTAAATTTACCAGTATTGCATTTAATCATCCCCATAATTATATTGATATTCTTCTTTGAAAGAATTCAGGAATGTACTCCAGAAATGTTCAAATTCATGCAAGAACTTAGAACGGTAGATGATTCTTTTGCCATACTCCGCTTCTCTCTCAACGATTCTCTAGCTTAACAATTTTGTCTCCCTGCAGGTTGTTACAATTGGAGTTGTCGGAGGTTCTGATCTTGTAAAGATATCAGAACAGCTTGGCAATTCAGGTTAGCTTAACTAAACTTGGAGTTGGGATGATGAAAGGTTTACAACTTCAAATTTTGTGGGTAGGATTCAGTGGCAGAGCCACAATTTTATTTAGGAGTGTCAAAATATAAAGGAGTAAAGTCATGTATAAGCCAACGGGAGTCAATATAGTGCATTCTTTTATCCAACTACACGATCTAATTTTCCAACCAAGGGGTGTCAATTAACACCCACTACACCAAAAATGATTTTTAGCAGCAATTAATTAACAACAATAGCTTAATTGTTGCTAGATATATATATTTTTAGGGGAAATTAACACTTTTTGAAAATGTCCCTAAAGCCTATAGCGACATTGGATCTAATAGCAATTAACTAATGCCAGTAAAAGTTTTAGCACTCTTTATTAATGTGTATATTTATTGCCGGTAAAAGTTGTTTTTGTTGTAGTGACCCCTTGAATACATGTAGCTCCGCCACTGGGTAGGATTTGTAATTAAGGAGCTATATCAGCTTATTAGTGCACATGTTTCTTGCTCAGTATCTAAAATTTCTCTTAGTATAGGCAAGAGTACAACTTTGGTTTCACTAGCCAAGAGCACTGAACTGAGTTTCGAAGATGATAACTTATACAAAACCCTTGGTTCTCATATATGGTTATTAACTGATCTTTCTAATATTTGTGATGCAGTTATGAATGATTATGATTACGTTTTCTCTGAAAATGGACTTGTAGCCCATAAGGATGGCAAGCTTATCGGCAAACAGGTAATGGCCAAAATTTGATATCTTATATCTTTAATTTTACTTGTGAGTGCAGGTTCATTTTGTCACATAACGAAATCTTTGGATACTGTCTTTATCTTTCAAACTTGAACTTGTTGCCACAACATAAGCACTTTGTACCCAGTTGAGGTACAAAGTGCATGGCTTCCCTCATTCTCCTTTGTTGCTAATTAGCAAGGTGATTTCTTTTGAAATGACATGACTCCTTGTGTGTGCAGAGCTTGAAGTCGTTTCTCGGAAATGAGAAGCTCAAGGTTAGTCAATGCGCTTTTCTAATTAACGAGGAAATGTTTTATTTTTATGCAAAGAGAGGGAACATACCCAAGTTTGATAAAGGCTTAGTTAAAGTATTTGTTGATAAGATAACTATAATAAATTTGTGTGTGACCTTAATGGACAAGATAAAAGGGTAAGAGCTACGTAGAGAAAGATTATTGTGTAATTTATATTTTGTTTAACTACCAAATATATTATATTTTGTCGAAAAACTGCTTTGACTATTATGCATTTATTAAGTTCTCGGAGTAATGTATATTATGATAATTAATCAAAATCTGAAAACTATAGATACAATTCTGTATGTTTGTTGCATACATATCTTGATGACTTGATGGTATGCAAATGATATGCAGGAATTTATCAACTTTACCCTTCGTTATATTGCTGATTTGGATATTCCAAAAAAAAGGTGGGCATATCAAATACTATGTTGCTTGGATCCTTCAAAAAAGCCGTTGCATCTGTGTAATACCCTGCAACATTTTTGAAGGATTCAAGCAACATAGATCAACGGTTGAATTATCTGCTTGACTGCCTCTTTGTGTCAAACTTCTTAATAATTCTCCTTTGCAGAGGAACATTCATTGAGTTCAGAAGTGGCATGCTAAATGTGTCGCCTATTGGGGGAAACTGTAGTCAGGAAGAGAGGGAAGAATTTGTTAAGTATGACAAGGTATAGACAGCTTCTCTAGTATTGCATGTATGTTTTGCAGTAATGTACCTCCGGCAGATTCTTTTTTCTCGTTGATTTAAAGATAATTTTAAAACTATATTCAGGTACAAAAGATACGCGAAACAATGATATCAGTGCTTAGAGGAAAGTTTGTACACCTTAATCTCACCTTCTCCATTGGAGGCCAAATAAGTTTCGATGTGAGTGTCTTTAAGCCTTTTCTTGTGCTCATTGATCGTTGAACGTTTTAGGTAGATGATTTGGGGATGTTGGTCATGACAGGTTTTCCCCCAAGGCTGGGACAAGACTTATTGTTTGAGATACCTTGAAGAATTTAATGAAATTCACTTTTTTGGAGACAAAACGTACAAGGTAGTTTTTAGTTACTGATGTGCTTGAAGCTTTCTTTTCATGTTCGGGCTGATATACAAGTCCTGCTATTTACTTGAACAGGGAGGAAATGACCATGAGATCTACGAGTCTAAGAGAACTGTTGGTCACACAGGTCCGTCCAAAATTTCATTCTTTTATGTTTGAATAAATCATTCTCTTGCTTAATTCCTTGAGGAATAACATTACCTGCTATTTTTTCTCCTTTTTTTTTCCAGTTACTAGCCCGGAGGATACAGTGAAGCAGTGTTCTGTTCTATTCCTCAGCAAGGATAATGGAAATGGAAGTTCTTGAGCTTGTTGCAGTTTTCCAATACACGTACAATTTGTATGCTTGTAACCTATGAACGATAGAAATGAATAATTCCTATAAATTCTTGTATTGAATTTACTCATCAAAATTATAATTTCATTTTTCCATACATTTGAGTTGAGATGTATACTTGTGAGTCATGTGAACCAGGTTCTCTAAGAAATCCCTTGAGGTGGTCTTGTTTTTGTGAGATAATCTACGTTTTTTATGTCAACTTCATAATCCTCTTTCATGCTATGTGTAAATTGTAATGTGTGTATACTTCATTCATTACTGCTTTCTTACCCTTAGAGTGCTTCAAGGTCCAATTTTGAAACACACAAATCTAACTATTACAACTCAAGAAGTGTATTGATAACTCTTGATAAGAACATGTTCCTTGATGATTTTTAGTTGAATCATTGTATTGGTCGACTCTCGAATAGGTCTTGTTCTATCTCTCAAATATTTCTGTGTGTGATAAGTCTTCAAAGTATCAATGCAATCTTTTTATATTGAAGTTAATAATATCCATTTATGTTTCTCCAATACAATCGAGATTTAGTTCAAAAATTTCCATGAATTCAATCCTTGTTTGACTTGATTTGGAGTTAGCTAAACTTCTCATAATTCCAAGCTATGTAATTCCTTTTGTTCAATTATGATAGCTTTTCATGTCTTGAACTCCAATTTTTTTATCTCATGTATTCAGGTTAGTAAAACAGAAATCAAAAAGATGGAATTGAAAAACAGAAAATAAAACAATCTGAGTCCATAGAACACAAGTAGGGACAGAGGGAGTATATTATGGCTAGTGCCCTCACTCCTATTATTGTCAGATTTCGCCTCTCCATGCTCCTTCGACTTATCTATTGAATACCAAAGGGAACCTTTGAGAAAAAGAAGAAGAAGAGCAAGTTTTTTCAAACAAAGACGTCTTTGCATACAGTAGTTATATCTTTGAAAGCTCAGACTGAGAGAATTTACGAACTTAAGCCACTTCAGTGCAAATCGATTTTAATTAGTCACCCCTTAAGTTCGCTGACCTTGTTGACGAAGTCTAGTTTGTGATGTAAACTTTCACATGTCAAGTGATACATTTTTCTTTCATTAGGCTAGCCAAGTAAAAAAGAAACAATTAGAGTAGGGATTTACAAGCATTTGATGAGTTAAAACGTTTCACTGCACTCTGCACTAGCAAATTACACACAACCATCACTGCAAAGCATAAACCAAATAGAAGCAGAGCCTATGAGCCTCCTCTGTTCTGTAATTACAATAGAAAATACATCTTCATACAACATTTGAAAATATATATAAAAATAAAAGGCATCCGGGAGCACTACTTAAGAATGTCGATTTTCACTTCATACTGTGTCACATCTCAATGCTTTGTCGAAGATGACCTCTAGCGTGAATGATCATGCAGTAGTTCCCTCAGAACTTCTAGGCTTCAGGATATTAGACAGCAACTGGTTCACTAAGGGGGCGATGATCGTGACTAACAGGAAGTAAGTACATCAGCTAATGGTTTCATCAATTATATAAGTTACTCAACTGCTCAATTATCTAGCTCAAACTTTATACCTAGCATTGCTGAGGATGAATGTTGGAACAACATATATTTCCTACTGAGCAGGCAGCACTAAACGATAGATATCTCATTTTATGATAAAAAAAAAATCAACTTTTTAGTCCATATATTTGTCAGTGTGCTTTATTATAAGTAGTCTTGGACTGAACATATATATTTGTATTTTTCTCCATTTGCGCATTTTTTCATTAAAGTCCATGTTTTATTTGAGCATAAAGTGCCAATGGACCTTATATCATTTTTGCACTTTTCGCTATTGAGAACATTATACTCATTCCACTGATGTGGGACTTGACACTATGTCTCACACCCAAGAATGGACATCTGGTGCGTGGAAATTTAATATAGGAGCCCAACAACATCGGGAAATTTTAAATTGGGATGAGCCTCGCTCTAATATCATGTATAGAAATGAATCTTGGACCTAATTGTTTAAAGAAACACAGAAAATACAACTGTAAATTCGAAAACAATTAGAATATATTGAAACAGAACTTGTCTTAAAGCTACTAAATAACAAACTACACATACCTTAAAATAACATGTTAAGCTAAAATAACTTATTTCGACTGTTAAAGACAATCAAAAGAGTCTAAAAGTGATCTGTACAACTATTATGTGACTAAAATTTCATGCAAAATGGAGCTTTGACACCAGCTAGAGCAAGAACAGATGCTGGAATTCCCCACAATGAGTCACCACATATTAGACCAGAAGCCACTGCAGGTCCAAAATCTTTAGCCTTCTGCTTGTTATACATTTGCCAACCGAATAGGATCAATGAGCCTAGACACATGTCAATGGCAAAGTAGCCTCCAAGGTAAAATGGTATGGCCATGCATTTAGGAGTGTAGAAACAGTTGATCAAGTATGCAGTTGCGGCTCCACTTGGATACGTCAACTTGTACTTCATTATCATCATCTTTCTTAGTGCGACAATTGAGAATAAACAAACCGGCAAAGCTAACAACAAGAAGATAAGGAAGCATCCAAGTAAAATAGCAAGATTCTTAGTATTAATTGGTAAATTTCCTGCATCAGCCTGAGATGCTATGTATGGACTCATTCCCAACATATAACTTGCTGTCCCACTGCTAAAAGCAATGCCAGAAGAAGCAACGACACACGTCTGTATAACGGTATTCTCCTGCCTAGTAAAAGATTGTTTCAACATTCCAAATTTCTGAATAAGAGCAGTCCATGATTTGATTCCGGTGAATCCCAATTGAGAGAAGGGATAACACCAGTAGTGAGATTGAGTTTGCAAACAATGAAGTTGAATACGACACTGAGGATGAATCCGGTGAACATTGCCTTGAATGTAATTTGTTTGTGCCACAGGGAACATATTCGTCTTTGAATGCATTCTCTGTTGATGATTCCCCTCCCAATTCTGGATCAGCATTATCTCCAACCATTATTAATTAGTGGAGTAACTAATTATATTTGAACGAACAAAGAAAGAGAGAAAATGAAAAGTGAGTATAATTGTAGGTGGGTGTTTCCTGATTTGAGATGGAATGGGAATTAACAATAATTGTTTAGTCTAATTTGACATGGAATGGGAAAATAAGTAGTACTTTTCCTCACCCCACTCAATCTGAATGGAATGGGATTACAATTACTGTTTTCTAACTTACCAAAATAAACTATTTTCCAAAATTAGCAAAGGTTTTTTTTACAGACTTGGACTCTTTTTGCAATCAGCTTCTTTTCAATGAAATATTGTACAGCGTCTGCTAGTACAAACTTGTATGTACTTAATGCAATTATACTTTCTGTACTAATTGTGAGATGCATCTTTAAATTCCTCCTCTCTTTTTTTTCAAAAAATAAATTGTATTATTGAAATTAATACAATCTTTGATTTAAGTCAAATTAATACATTAATCCGTTGGAATTTAGCACTTCAAGTTTTCCAATCTTTGTTTGGTTGTCACATCTTTATCTTCTCGTAGGTGACCATAGAAGGTTAAAACTAAGGGCCTGATCAGGTGAATGGCATCAATCTATTTTTTTTCAAAAATTCTTAACAAGCATTGTGGAAACAATTGAAATATGTGTGGAATGAAATCAATCTTTGTTTTCAAAGTTTTTTATTAAGTCGTGATGGTAAAAACTGCTTGCTGATGTTCAAATGTTGAATAGGACGATGCATTTCACGTTTGGACATGTCAATATTCCCATCATTGAAGTAGAAACCTTGAGGAGAATCACGTTGGCTCTGCCTGACTTCACTTGTTCGGAGGACGCTGGAGTTTCGCTAACTTGAATTTTAAATGAACACCAACATAAAAGAGATCCACTTGATAGAAGATGAAGTTTTAATATGAACACAAACACTTCCCCAAATCATTATATATGTGATCAATGTTCGCACCGATCTCTCTTTTTCTTTTTATGGAGAATGTAACATTAAGAAATCACCTACAATCTTGTATTCCTCACAAGCCACAAATGAACCTTCATCAGGACAACACACATACACACACACACAGACCAAAACATCAAGTTAAAGTTCATATACCACTCGAAAGCAAACAAGAGTGAGATTTCAAAGGACATCTCCAAAATTATTTTCAGAAAAAATTAGTCCAAACAGAAATTGACAAGTTGAAGTACCTAGGAGTAATTCAAAACAGAAATCAACTCGCTGAGGATACCTAGGAAGAATTTAATTGTCTTCCTTCCGAGATTATTACAGGGTTCTAAATGCTTCATGGTACAAACTTTGTGCGTGGCCTGCCCCACTCATCATCATGCAAATGCTGTCAATCATTATCAGTGTTAGTACTCATCAAAAAAGTAGAATTAGAGACTAAAATATAACAGAACAAAAGAGTAACAAGTAGTTTCTTTTCACACTACCCCACAAGGTATTAATAATAATGATAATATCTCCAATACAGGAAAAGTAGCAAAAACCGTCTTTAAGCTACATTGACACAAATACAACTTGAATTTAGAAGTGCAGTTTGATGTTTTATTGAACACCGGTAACAAAATCACATGATTTCTCAAATATAGGACATGGAGGACTCAAATTCATAGCACATATAATGGCTCTTCAATTATATGATGCAGCTGATACTATGAAGAAACTGTAAAGAGTAGACATGGATGGTCCTAATAGGAGGCAACTAAGTTCTAATATACAGATCACAAAAAGAGGGAAGCTAAACTGTCAAAACAAATTCTGTCCCAATAAAATGGGAAAAAGTAAAGTAGCTACTCCATCCATACAACTTCAGAAATCCTATTTTAACTGGTCGTAGGACAATATCAACAACATTCTCAATCCCAAATTAATTGGGGTTAGTTCCATGAGCCATCTGTATACATTTCAGAGGCGGGCCTATGTATACAGCTCAAGTGCAGTGGCACTCATGAAATTGTCAAAAAATTATGT